ATATATATATATAATTTCTATTATTGATATTAATGTAGTGTTATTGCTCTTGGCATCAAGGCAAAATTATTGGATAATCATCCCATTGAAGCCTCTAAATAATTGTTTTGAGATGTTCCAAAATTTCAAAAGCTGCTGCCGCAATAATTTGCTTTCTATGCGGCGAGAAATGCCATCATTTTTCACACACACACATCGGGAAAGGGGTTGAGGTTGTGGTGGTAGCACACCCCATACCTTAGTTTCATGTTTAGCTTCCATTCCCACTGACAACTCTAAAAAAAACAACACTAACTAATTCAAAAACAGGTAGGGGCCTTTTTTCTCTATGGAATTAGCCCAGAAAAAAAATTTATTTTCCACATATTTCATAAAAAATAAATGCAACATGAATAGTAATTAATAAGGCTAGGTGAACTTTGATCCCTATGACCACATGAAATGTGTGGTTCTAAGGGTAAAATTGTCTTAAGGATTTTGTGTGTCATATAATAAGTCAGGTTTTGCTGGTTTAAGGCCTTTATTTTCATTAACTTAATGTCCTCCCCTTTTATTTGGTTTCTACGAGGGTTAAATGAAAGCCAAACTACTGTCCTTTCTCTATCTGGTTCATGTTTACTTGGCTATTGAATTTATTTGATTTCCTTTTCTCTATCTGGTTCATGTTTACTTGGCTATTGAATTTATTTGATTTCCTTTTTGCCCTCGTTCAGGAGGAAAACTCATTTGATTTCCAGGAATTAATCTCTTTCATTCTTTTTTTCCTAGGTTTTGAAGAAGCAAAGTTTTCATCCTTGCCACGGGCTTGGGGCTCAGGCCCGAGGCGAGCTACTTGGGCAAGTCTGAGCAGACTCGTCCAAGTTATGTGCTTTTTCTAGGGTATTTTAAAATTAATTAAAAAAATATGAGTAAGGTGTGTTCATGCCTCACGAGTAATTCGATAAATTTCCCTAACCCAAAATTGGGATTTTTGGTTTTGTTAATATAATATCAGTTGATTTCAAATTATTTTCTATTTTTATAACTTTTATAATATCCTATCCTATTTTCTTGATTTGACCTAATAATTCTATCTTTTCCAATGCAAAGGCATGTTGATGAAGGTTATGTCCATTTGGCTTTTGTCGACATTTTTTTTTTTTTCGGTTGAATCAGTGGGGAGAGGACCCCTACCTTTGATAGGAATTGAGCATAGGACGTAGCGCTGCAATTCGTCAAACACTAACCAATTAAGCCCGGGCGCAAATCATCAACCCATTAGCATCGAGGAGCAGCGCATAACTTGAAGTTGAAATTTGTTGAAAAAACAAATTAAAATAATTTATCTGTTTTTACATTTAACTTTTTTTTAGTAGTTCAATTGTTGGAATCGAACTTGCGACGTAGTTTTGGCAATGGTACCCACTAACCAATCAAGCCTAAGTACCAAATTTGTGAATGTTTTTGTTACACAGAGGCTGTACAATCTGGGAGCTCGAAAAGTGGTGTTTAATGGCATGGGCCCTTTAGGTTGCATACCTTCACAGAGAGTGAAATCTAAGAAAGGGGAATGCCTTGAGCGTGTTAATGAGTGGGCCATGCAATACAACTCCCAGGTGTCAACTCTGCTCCGTCGCCTCAACTCGCGCTTGCCTGCTGCCCGCTTCACATTCGCCGAAACATACCATGCAGTCCTCGATCTCATTCAAAACCCAGGCAAATATGGTAAGCCACCACCTGAGGTCTGTGGACCTTTCCTGCGCAAGATAAGTAGATAAATTTTTCTCTCTGTTCATTCTCCTCATGTTTGAGATTAAATTGGATGACCAATTTATTTTAATTCTCAGTAGCTCGTTACCAACCTTGTGTTCATAGTCCGAATGTTCTAGAGTCAACCTCCTTACAAACCTTGTGTTCGTAATCCGAATGTTCGAGAATCAACCTCGTTACAAACCTTGTGTTCATTTTAAGAAAAGTACTGAGCTCTATTATCAAGTTGAACGTGGTGTTTTTTACTATCTTATGCATTGGATAAGGGGTAATCAGGGGTTTAGAGTTCAAACTATAGTTAAGAAATCTATATTTCTCACCACAGATAAGACTTCACTAATAGTTAAGTGGTTAAGATGTTGTAACTAACCACAATTGAGGTGATATAACTGTCAGTTCCTCGATTAAAAAGTAATCCTGACAATTCAAAGAAATCCCTTAAACTTGGCTTTTGTGGGTCCGAAAGCCAATAATTTGAAGGTAATAGTTGTGAACGGTTAAGATTCATGAATCAAGATGTCCTCTGCTTGGATCAATTTTAAGGGACCTATTTATAAGATGGCAATACAAGGTTCTCTTTCTTCTTTACACATTAAGGCACATCCTGCTCCTCCTACTGCTAAAGACCTGTAATTACAGAGCCTTCAACTGATGTAAATGTCCACCCCTCAACTAATCAGGCTCAGGCTTCCTCCACAAATGATGATGCTCTAGCTTAATGGGAGGATGGTTACTAGAACTGTAGAAACACATCCTTAATGCCCTCAGTAACCAATTATTGGAGTTGTACTCTGGTATGCATCTGGTGAAAGATTCTTGAGAAGATTTGGAGAAAAAATAAACAGTTAGAGACACTAGAGGGAAGAAGTTTTTGGTCAAATATTGCCTTGATTTAGGTACTTCTATAGAGCTAAAATAGTTTTTATTACGAGCTCTTGCCGTTTAATTCGTTAAAACAATCTTCCTCTCCAAAAATCACTTATGATTTCTCAACTGTCTCTAACTATCTTTAATCCATAAGCAAGTTTCCTCTAACAAAATCTCCAAGAAATATGTTCCTTTTAAGTTCAATTCGATTCCAAACATATACTAACATAGCAGGTGAATTAGTATAAAGTTCTCTTTAGAAACTTCTCTGAGCATGCTAATTAGAGAAGAATTGCACTTTACAGGGCTTTAATTTTATTTTTAGGATATATTTGTTAAAGAAACTTGATTGCATTTTGGTGACCAAAATAGAGGGCATTTAATACCTTCAAAAAGTGCATGCCATGGCTCAGGCTCCACTGTCCACTTGTTGAAGCACAAGGTCTCTATATCTTTGAAAAGCTTGAGTTCTTGGCTCATTTTGGAACTTTGTATTCATACTTCAAAATTATGAGCTTTAAGCTCATTCTGAATCATTGTGTTCATTTTAGGAGAAGGTTTGAGCTCTATGCTCAAGTTGAAGACATTATACTTTTTTCCTTTTTTTGGTAGATCAGTTTGGGAAGGGATAGGTTTTTTTGGGTAGATTAATAGGGAATTAGTCATCTGCCCATGATAGGAATGGAATTCAAGCCATCACGTTGAATCCAATATACATACATTTATTATCACAAATAACACTTAACTATCATAGTTGAAATGATATAACTTACAACTCCACAATTAGTGTAATATGGATGTCAAAGAAAAAAACATTCATATTGAAAAAAAAATGCAATTTTTTTTCTTTCTCAATTGAGAAACATTATCGTTTTATTTTATTATGTTGGTAGACTGTTTGGATGCGTTGTAATTTTATTTTTTGCATATTCTTGATCTCCATAGAGCAGTCGAAAATGTCAGAAAAATAACTCGAAATATGAAATTTTAAAGAAATCGATAAGAAATCCCAAACCCAATTTACACAATTTCATAATTTAACTATATTGATTCATCTCTCTAGATCTGCAGTATATTCCTATAAATGTACAAGGCATAAATGTTTTGAGGTTGTAAAGCATCTTCGTCTGCAACCACTCCAATAAATTTAGATAGACAAACTCTATGTTACCAAGAAAAACTTCAATCTTAAGACTCGAAGAATCACGGTTCCTAGAGATATCGAGCAAAACCTTGAATTTCTAGAGAGAGTAAGAGAAGGGAATCTAAGAGTACAACCGCTCTCTAGCAACCCAGTCGAAATGCTAGGGAGAGCTTTGTGAAATTAGGGGTGCGGCTTTCTAGAGAGAGAAAGATGAAAATATTCATTTTTTAGAGAGAGAAAAAGTCAAATTAGTACTAGGAGATGGATCTGCCTAGAGAAGGATTAAAGATGAGAGAAAGAAAGAGCAGTGAAACCTGTTTGAGAGTGGGAAAGAGGTTTTGGTACAAGAAGGATTGAAGATGAGAGAAGGAAAGAGCTGTGAGATCTGCTTGAGAGTGGGAAAGAGGTTTTTGTAGGGGAAAGGCGTGAATAGAGAAGCGAAAAAAATATGCATAGTTGAAGATAAAGAAAGAAAAAGCTATGAGACTTGCTTGAGAGTGGAAGAGAGGCTTTTGTAAGTATGAGAGATGCTTTTGTAAGTGCGACTCAGAGCGGGAAGGTTTTTGGGCAAATTTGGCTTACTGTCATAATCTAATTTGTTGGGGAATAAAATCTAATGAGGTTAACCAAACGGTTCCCAGTTGTTATCTTAATCTTTTTTTCTTGTCATTTGAAACTATTGCAATTTTGGGTACATCCAAATTGGCCCTTAATGTTGACAATTGAGTATAGCATTTTGAAGTGCATCTTGATTTTTTAAAGTAGCACATTGCACACTGTATACAAGACATTGACTGGCCATAACTCATCATCATTATTTGAGCTTGTCTCAATTATTTGGGGTTCGCTATAAGAATCGGTTTTTTCCCTTTTGCTCTATAAGGGTCATAACCTTAGTCATATCCTAAGTCACCATATCTCATCTCACTACTTCCTTCGATGTCCTTTTGGGCATTTTCCTTGCCTTTTTAGAGTATTCTACTTGAATCCTATTGTCCCTTCTAACCGATGCTATATTAAATCTATACTACACATAGCAAGCCATATTGTACAAGCAAAATGGGTAGTGGAGATAAAGTATTGTACAAACATTGTGGATTTCGGATAATGCATCGTTATTGTCCATATCGAGAAAAAAAGATATGGGATAGCAGCTCTGTGCAGTGGACACTATGTTTTTTACAATTTTTTATGTCTAAATTCTATACAATGAGCTAGAAATTTTATTTTCTTTAGTGTGAGCAGTCTGAAATCAAGGAACTTCTTGGGTAAGATTAATAACTCTAGGTTTGGTTGTCTCTTTGGAGACCTTTATAGCACTTGCATAAAGGGAAAATACAAAATCCAAAAGCCCATGACCTCTCAAATTTGAATTCAAAATTCAACTAAGTATTAAATACTTTATGTTTGTATACAAACTTTGAGATTTTTTTAAAATTATAACAAAATTAGATAAAAATAAATGGCATCATCATCTTCATCAACATCAAAGCTTTTTTCCAATTAATACGGGTTGACTACATGAATCCTGATCCGTCATTTTGCTCTATTAAAGGCCGTACCCTCAGCGAGGCCATAAGTCATTATATCTTTTTTCACTACTTCCAACCATTTTAGGCTTACTCCTTGCCTTTTTTAGCATTCCACTTGAACTAACTTGTACCTCCTAACAAGTATTGTATTGGATCTGAGCCACATATGACTAGCCTACCTAAATTTACTTTTCCTAATCTCAACTATACTCATTCTATGGTATGTTGTTTCTTGACCCCATAACGTCTTGCCCTATATAGCAAAGTTGCTCTCACAACTGTCTTATAGAACTTGCCTTTCAGCTTCATTGGAATACGACGGTCACATAAAACTCCAGTTGCACATCTTTACTTTGTCCACCCAACTCTAATTTTATATGCGATATTTTCCTCAATCTCTCCCTGTTTTTGGATTATCGACCCAAGATATCGAAAGTGAGCTCTTGTTGGTATTTCTTGGCCATCAATCTTAACTATTTCTTCGTCTCTACTCCTATTATTATTAAACTTGTATTCCATAAACTCTGCCTTTGTCCAGCTAATTTTAAAATTTTTTTATTCTATAGCATCCCTCTAAAGTTCTAACTTTGTGTTAATATCGTTTTGGGTCTCGTTGATCAAAACTATGTTATCATCGAACAATACGCAGCACGATACCTCATCTTATAGGTTCCTAGTTAAGTTGTCGAGAACTAAAAATATATAAAATCTGAAAACTTTTGAAGGACAAGGGTGTAGCACCACAAAAAATTGAGGAAGTGAATCTTAATTGATATAATTTTGTAAAATCTTTTAATTCACAAGTGTCAAAACTTTTTCAAATTAATAAACTACTTTTTTATTCATAGCTATGGAATTCAAATTATTTATGTTTTCTTTAGCACATTTTGAATATTACAAAAATAGTATGAATTTGAATTGTTTCAATTTTATTAAAACAATTTTATAATATTTACCATGAAAAAAGTTTGTGGATTTCAAACACCTAACATATGGTTGAAGAATAAAAGCTAATATAAGTGGCAGCACGTAATCTTCCTAAAAACCCAATACACCATATGCAAAAGGAAGAAAGAAAAAACAAATGAAAAATCTACTCCAACACAGGAGAAAAGCACCCAATCCTAACCTCAGTCAATGGAGGAGTATCTTGACCGAGGCGAGTCCCGGTACCTTGCCCATAAGCATCGCCATTCTTTATTCAGTGAGAAAAACAAGTGGTAGCTTTAGCAACTAACTGAAAAGGCCCTCAATTTTTCTTGAACCGTACGAACTATTTACACTCCCATTGCTATATGGAAGGGTGTCAAAACAAATAAAGTATGCCCAGGATACTAACTAGTGTTGACATGTTTGAAACAAGCTTTGAAGGATGAATTGATATTGCTTCATTGTGTGTTTAAAATTGAGTCTTCCTAGTTTTTAACCCACAAATAATAAATAGTATGTTGGGTTTGATTAGTTACGAATGAATGTGCAGGATTCAAGATATCGAACACTTCATGTTGCAATGTAGATACAAGTGTGGGGGGTTTGTGCTTGCCCAACTCCAGTATGTGCAACAATCGCAGAGAATATGTGTTTTGGGATGCATTCCACCCCACCGATGCTGCAAATGTTGCGCTCGCCAATGAACTCTTATCATATCCTCCCTTCCAAAAGCTACTCCCCTCAAAAGCTCCATCTCCTGCACCTTCCCCACACTAATCCAGGACCAATGGCTTGCCTTCCTAAGCCTTTTTCATGTTAATGTGTTCCCTCATTTCCATTCTTCTTCAGGGAGAATTCTTGTCATGAGACGGGGTGTTAAGAGGGATAACTTCAAGTCTTTTTTAGTATAAGTCATAGCTAAATTTGCATAAATGGAGAGGTTTGTGGCCCATCCTTTAATAAGCGATTGCTGTCTAAAATCATGGTGCTACATGCTTTTATTGAATTGCATAAATATTCACATTTGAAAATGAAAAATAAAAATAAGAAGGAAGAGACCAAAGTAATGTTTCAATAGAATTATAAGATATCATATAGGGAAAATTTTCTATATACCACTACGTGCAAGCAAGTTATTTTGTGCCACTCTCGCCCAGCCGTCCGATCAAAATGGATAGGTGGGATTGCTTCAGCCATATGTCATAAGTGAGCCACTAACCGTTTGATCTAGATCTGATGTTTGAAAGTGTTTTATTTTTAATTATTTTTTACATATCATACCAACATAAACTTTGGTGGGTACCATCATCTCAGTGGAGCGCACTTAAAAAACATTTTAAAAAAATATTTTGAAAAATAAAATAATCAAACTACTACTTAAATTTTTAGAGGTATTTTGGTTATTTTATTTTATCAGGAATATTTTTTTATATTTTTCTTATATGTGAGCTTAAGAGATGATTGGACATAACAAATTTGGTGTGAATATCATTTCTAGACAATTCTAAAAATAAAATAGTGTTTAACGTGACATTGTGATTGGGGCTATATCAACAATCCATTCAGATTAGCTAGCTATGAGAGGGGTGTCATATATGAATTCCCTATACCTAGTGCTATATAAAAAGTTTTTCCTACTATAAAAAGGTAAGCTATAATAAAAATAACAAAGTGCGACAATTGGATGAATTTAAGAAAAGAAAAGAACAAATAAGATGAAAGAGTTGAAGGGAAAGAGAGTAAAACAATGAGAATCCATGATATTTCAACAAACACATAAATTTAGAAAAATAGTCAAACAATTAGAAACTATTAAAATATATAAAATATTGAAACACTTTCTGCTGGAGCTATTTTTCATTAACTGTATTACCCAATCGTAGGGTATTTGTAGAAGATACAAGGGGTTAGAATCCCATCATTGTAGGGATCTATCTAATAAAAATGGAAAATAGACTATACTTATCCAACTAGATTAAAAAGTGTATAGTAATATAAAATTTAAAATTCAAGATTTGAATTTCAATTGAAAATTTTTGGTAACTCCCAACACTCCCCTCAAGTTGGAGCGTAAACATTGGGAATGCCCAACTTGCCTGCGAGAAACTCAAATTGATCTTTCCCATGAGTTTTGATGAATATATTGGCTCGTTGAGAACCAAACGGAACATGAGCAGTACAAGTTAGACCCTGTTGAATTTTCTCTTAAACTAGATGACAATCAAGTTCAATATGTTTGATTCGCTCATGGAAGAGTGGATTGGCAGCAATATATAGGGCTGATTTATTGTCACAATAAAGTATCATGGGGCCATTATGAGAAATGCTATGATCAGACAAGAAGTACTTGAGCCAAGTAAGTTCATAAGATGCAACTGCCATAGAACGATACTCTACTTCCATAAATGACCATGAAACTATTTGTTGTTTCTTAGTTGGGTTGTCTAAATAGTGCAATAACTAGTAGTCAAGCGTCTGGCCATCGAGCAACCATCCCAATCAGAGTCACAATAGGTAGAGAGTTGTAGACTACATTAGCAGAGAACAGAGTCCCCTGGCCAAGTGTCCCTTTTAAGTAACGAAAAAATCGAGTAGCAGCATCTAAGTGTAGTTTTCGAGGTTGATTCATGAATTGACTAAGGATGTGGATGTTGAGATCAATTGGTGAAAAATCAACAAGGGTTTATAACATTTACAGCTATTGTACATTCATATCAATATAAATAAGCAAAGAAAACTACACACTATCAAAGCAAAGACAGAATGAAAAATCCAGCAACATTCAATCCACATAGCACAAAGCTTTAACGTGGTTCATTTACAAATCGTGACTTACATCCACCAGAGAACGGTGCAAGACTTTACTTACTGATTTGGGAAGATTACAAAATGAAATCGAGCTCAAAATATCAATTTCCAGCAGCCCTTTCTCACTCTAAACATAGCCCAAACACAAGGCGCTAAGAACACCAAAAAATGAGTTCTCTTTAACACTTTCTCTCACCAAAATAGGGCACACAACAAACCCACAATGGAGTTCAAGCCTTTTGCTCACTTTTTCTATCTAAAACAGAGCATAACAAGCTCTCAAGAGAAAACCCAATTGTAGCCCAATCTCTCTATCTTTTTCTCACTCATTTTCTCTTTAAACAAAAGCGTTTTAATCCCTTTAAAAGAGTAAAGTTTCTACAATATCACAACCATTGGATTAGATACAATTTAATAGCCCAAAATAAAAAAGACGAAAAGTTAAATAAAATTCTCATATGTGTGATTTGTTTTCACACATGTAATAATCTCCCACTTGAAGATAAATCACAAAGTCTCTGAAATAATCACCAAAGCACTACTCTCCATCCGCTTGAGGTTACGTCTCCTCCAACCTCAAAAGACTTCTACAAATCATATTCTTTTCAATTGAGATAACATTTGTCAAAATATCAACAAGGTTCTTCTCAGTGTGAATCTTGTTCACATGCAAATCTCTACGCTTGAGGGCAACCGAATAAAATGATATCTAACCTCTATATGCTTTGTCTTGGAGTGATAAGCTGCATTCTTAGCCAGATGAATCACACTCTTCTTATCATAATGCACATCATATTTATCCTGTTTGGAGAAAAATTCAATTCTATTGTCAGTTCAAATGGACTGAATCGACCAATAGAATTGACTTTTGACCAAGGCAAAAAAAGGATTTTAAATGTTGGTTCGTTTAGATTTATGTCGCATTAGAAATATCCAAGTGCTACGACTAAAATAATGTGCTCTTATACGAGATGGGGTTGTATAACCACCCTATATGTCACAATAAATAAGTTGAAATGGAGCAGTAGTAGAAGTCAAACTATTAAGAAAAGAAAGTTGAGACTATTTTGCCCTAGGGCATACATGACAATGACAATTATTAGATAAATGTTTTTTGAATGTTTTTGAATAAGAGAATGTAAGCGAGAATACAAAGGGTGACCTAAGTGCCAATGCCACAGTCCATGAGGGTCGAGCTGTGAACTGGGGATGCAAAGACATATTTGGATCAACGAAATAGATAAAGGCCTTTGTGCTCTCTACCCGCTCCAATCGTCCTCCTCAATAACCTGAAAAATACAATAGTCAATGAAAAAGGTTATTGAACATTGTAGATCAAAGGTAAGCTTTTGAATAGAAAGTAAATTATATGAGAAAGATGGTACACATAAAACATTGAGCAAGTTATTTAATCTAAAAGAGTAACAGTGCCAATATGAAGAACATGCAAAAATTTACCATTTGGTAGTTTCACAGCAGTGCGTGATGAAAGTTCTACGGAAGAAAAGATGGAGAACAAATAATTTAGCGTCACTGTCTATGATCTATGTACCACTGAATGAAGAAAAGGTCAAGCAATAAAGATTACCTACAAGATTAGCCGAGTGGCTTGAACTACTTGCCAGTAACATTTACAAAAGATTACAGTGTTGTTTGGGTGTAAATTGAGGGCCTATTGTAGATGAAGTTGGCTAGTTGAGGGCCACTAAAAATTGAAAGAGTTGCTCTTGCTGATATAACTGTTGAGATTTTTAGGTGCCCTACAAGAACATAGGGTAAAGGATGTGAGAGAAGGTAATTCATCCTATTTTTTTTTAGTTGTGTGAAGTAAGAGGCAACTAAGAGTCAGTCTTGTTGGAAGGGGCCCAAAAATTTCTTGATTTGATAAAGTTGTGGGGCATTGCTTGGTGAAAAACGATCTTGCAAATCAGTCCACACTTGGTGGGTTGTAGAGGAAAATATAACACTCTCTATCTTTAGACAAAGCATTAAGAAAGACAAGACAAAGTCATGTCATTGCATATTTCCCATTAAGTGAAGAGATGGAGAAGAGGGCTCTGATTTAGGCAGAGTTCTATCAATAAAGGTCAATTTGTTGTTGGCATTTAAGGCCATGAGCACGGCATAGGACCATGTACAATAATTCTTCCTCATTAGGGGATGTGAAACAAGACCAGTCTCAGGACTATCAAAGTGTTGTAAAAGGTAAGGAGATTGATTTTCAGAGGTAAGGTGGTTGTCAGTTATGGCGCACAAAATAAAAAAAAATCATCGACATAATTATTTCTCTTTCTAAAATTTCAGCAACTATTTTGACTCTAACATTTCAACACTTTTGGCTCACAAAGATGTGAGAAGAATGGACTTTTAAATGAACGTTGAGAGAGAAACAATTTTTTGAAAGTTGGAACAAAAAAGAGAGTGGGGTTTTAATATCACGTGAGGCTATGGACGCTTGATTGGGTAAAAAGACAGAACAAGAAAAAATAGTGAAATTCACTAGATTGCAGTAAATAGCAATGAAATTTACTGTGAGAAGCTAATTTCAAAATTGTATGACAATGAGGAGAGAAAGCATATACAGTTTTCTTCAACAAAAAAAAGAAAAAAAGTACAGAATGTGAAAGCAAGGAGTGGAACTCATGGTTCACAAGATGCAGGATTCATAAAGAGGATGGAATATATAGCTTCCAAGATCCATGGCAATCATGCTTTGATACCATGTAAAATGTTCGAACACTTTCTGCTGGAACCATTTTTATTGATTTTATTACCCCAATCGTAGGACATTTGTAAAAGATACAAGAGGTTGCAATCCCTTGATTGTAGGCATCTATCTAACAAAAATAAAAAATATATAAAGTGGATCACAAATGAGAAGGAAGCCCTGTGGCTTTTGAATACCATACTGGATAAGCTAAAGGATATTATTGTTGATAAAGAATGTAAATTTGTACAAGTGTATGGGGAAAATAATTTCATTACTGATGAATTCGCAAAAATGGTGTTACTGCAAGTAGGCTAACTATTTAGTAGGAGAATAAAGCGTTTGTAGATATGGATTGTAATTAGGTGCGATTGTATATTTGGGTTGTTTCTATTGTAATGACTTTCCTATTGGCCAGATATGTGATAAA